GAGGGGAACACTAACTGCTGTAGCAGCTAACCTGCTGTACACCTCAAGCGACTGCAGCAACTGCTGTTGCTGCTGCTGTTGCTGCAGTTGTTGCTGCTGTTTCTGCAGCAGCGTGGATGTGTAGCTTTGTTGTAGGCTTATAGATACTCTAGGGAGTGTCTTTGTCCCTAGAACAGCTGAAGCAGCAGCAGAAGGATCTGCTGCAGCAGCAGCTGCTGCATAGGTTTTCTTCTGAGCAGCAGCAGCAGCAGCAGCAGCAGCAGCAGCAACACCAGCAGCAGAAGCCGTAGTACAAAGTTTCTCTCGCACAAGGAGAATGGAGAAGATAGAGTGAAAGCTTTATTTTTTTTTTTTATAAAAAGAAGAGAAAAAGATATTCATGTCGGTGCAGCAGCAGGCCCACTGGCTTTGTGTGTCTGCTGCTGCATGCATATATGGTGGTGTTTCTGTGTATGTTTTGTGTATAAAAGACAAAAGAAAAGAACAATTAAAAATATATAGACAAAAATAAATATATTTTCAGTTTATTTCGCTTTGTGTGTATACAAAGAAAAACAAAAATCCATACCTTCATACAGAAGAGGTGCGCAGCGGGGTGTGTGTACGTACACCCCAGCTGCAGCAGAAACAGCAGCAGATGGTTGTTCTTTTGTTGCAATAAAATAAATAAAAAATAATAAATAAAAGTAAATACTTTATTAAATTTATTTTTTATTAATTATAGAGAAGAAACGCTCTGTTTTCGTGCTGTTGCTGCGGTCTTTTGTTCTTGCTTCTGCTGCTGCCGCTGCTGCTGCTGCTGTTGCTGCTGCTGCTGCTGCTGCTGCTGCTGCTGCTGCTGCTGAAACATATACGATTGAGCCGCTAAGATGAGGGGCCAGGGTGCTTTGTTTGTGTTGTTGCACGGAGTTGTTTGGTGGTGTTTTGTGTTTCTTTTTGTTTATATATATTTCATTATAATTTATTTCAGTTTGTCTTCGTTTCTTCTATACAGCGTATTTATATTTACCATTTGCTTTCTCTTCTCTAGGCACCGACAGCAGCAGCAACATAGTTCTGCAGCAGCAGCTCCTGCAGCAGCTCCTGCTGCTGCTGCAGCAGCAGCAGCTCTTACTACCAAGACGCAGCAACACCCCTCAACAGCAGTTTGTTTGTATTCTTATTTATTATTTGATTGTGTTGCTTCATACTTTTTCTACTGAGGCCCCTGCACTGCCTCTCTCTCAACCCCCCC